ATTGTGTGTGTTGGAAGTAACCAATGAGGAAATCATCAGTATGTATCTTTTTGTTGAGGAAAGAAGTTTTGCACTCTCACAGCATGGCTTTTGAAACATCCCTGTCATGCAGACCCATCTTTCCATTTCACATATCTCACATGGTCTCTTTCCTCACACCTGAGAGATTGCTCTGAGCTCCTTCTTATTTCACGGGCATTTTGATGACCAAAAAGGACATGGAAGAGGCATATAGTCCAGGAGCACTTGGAATCCTTGAATCAATATATTGTGTCTCATTGTTTTCATTACTGTCTCAATTTTGCTTTTCCAATTGGGAAGGAAGCCAAAATGGAAAGGTAAAAATAGAATGTATGTTGGGAAAGGGAGATGTTGATCCTGTGGGTTACTTACAAAACGTAGTTTTGCCCTATCCCTGCTTGTTATCTGGGCTGCAGGCCAAATGTTTGGCTGATACAAATCTGCATAGTTCCAAAACATTGTTAATTTATGTGCTTTATTACAACACCATTGAATAAGAGCATATTTCTCTTTAGTAAACATCTGATAGCATTATAAATCCAGTCATCTTTTCAGAGAAGGTACCCTAGCTCCAGACATGATATTTATCAGAGCAAGCAAGAACAGCCACACAATTTTGCATGTCTGGCTTTCTTCTTGAGCCTGTCTCCTATTTGTGTTAAATCACATAATACCCAGGAAGGTTTGGATGGATACCAAAAAATAACCTGATATCAGGGTAGGAATTCCAATTTCGTATCCTCTGGCAAATAAGCGGTGGGGGAAGTGAATGCTTCCACAGTTATTTTCAGTATTTATACATAAGTACTCATACATAAGTCTATGGGACCTGACAAGATACATCCCAGAGTCCTGAGGGAATTAGCTGGTGTAGTTGCCAAGCCATTCTCCATGATATTTGCAAAGTCATGGCAGCCAGGTGAAGTCCCCGGTGACTGGGAAAAGGGAAACATTGCACCCATTTTTGAAAGGGCAGAAAGGAGGACCCTGGAAACTGCCAACCTGTCAGCCTCACCTCTGTGCCTGGGAAGATCATGGAACAGATCCTCCTAGAAGCTACGCTAAAGCACAGGGAGGACAGGAAGGTGATTCAAGACAGCCAGCATGGCTTCACCAAGGGCAATTCCTACCTGACCAACACAATGAACTTCCAGTGTTCATTGAGTTCAGGGAGTTAACTCATTACCTGTTGATGAGCATATACGTTTTTCATAACAACAGGAGCTATCAGGGCAGTGTTGAATTTGAAAATGGAAGAAGTCACTCCTTCCTTCTCTATGGCTAGCTGGGGAGGAGTAGAAACAGTGTCAGGAGAGAACACCCCTACCAGGAACGCTTTCCGTTGTTGTGGATTCACTGCATTCTTATTTCAATGCTCCTCACTTGGGATGGATGAATTTGGATGCAACTGGATTCACCTCTGGCATAACAAACACCTGGTTTTGTCCTTAGAGGCTGTGGACTGACCCCAGGCTTTTTATTCTACTGCTGGTTTGCTTGTATCGGGTCATTCTTTATTCATGGAACAAGCTTTCCTGTTAGCCCTGAATATGGCCCTGAACCATCCCCAGTCCCAGTGATTTGAAAACAAAACCCAATAGAAGGTGGGATAAGCAGCAGTATTCTTATATCCAAAAGGCTTGATCCTCCTGCTCTCTGCCCTGGTTGAAATGAGGAGGTATTGTGGGAGACCAGGCTCTTTGTTTCTGACTTGAACAGCAGGCTCAATTCTGCTTGCTTACATGCTGCAGTGTAAGCAAGTCCTGAGTAAATCAGGAACAGCTCCACTAGCAATGGGAAGGACAGAAGGCAGCCAAGATTAGGAAACTTTCATTAGATGGAGAGTTTGTAGGGACAAGGACTCTGGTCTCCCTCCATTAAGATCCTCATTCACAAAAGACACTGGAGAAAAAGCTGTTGATATATGTATGCACTGGTATGTGGGGACTTGTGTTATCACACAAATGAGCAGAGCTGGCACAGCAGCAGAGGGGCTCATGGTGTCAATACGTAACTTGTCCCAGCAAAGAAGAGTATTTTGGGACAGCCAGCTTCTGCTGTTGAGGTGCCTCAGCCTCACGGTTTCTAAGGACAGCATCAGTCGTCCATGTATTTTTGCTAATGCTGTCTGGCGATGTGGCATGTCTCTCCTTATGTCACTTTTACTTTGGCTTACCCATCCATCTGTCGTAAATGTGTGGATGAAAGAAAGCTTCAGTCAGCAAAGCAGCAGTAGCCATCCACCCATCTAGGACATGGTGCACAGCATGTTGATGTCAGGCAGAGTCATGGCTTGTTAGTGAGGAGTGAATAAATGATGCTGTTATTTCCTGGGGAATGACAATACTCCAGTGATGTGATGTATTACAGCCAACGAAATTGGCAGTCTGGCTTCTGCCTCTCCTGGAAAACTTTACTGTCCTTAAGGTGCTGATGTGTATAACAATGAGGAGGGCAGTTCTGCCCAGGGTTCAACTGACTTATTCTAGGTTTGCAGTGTTTTCAATTCTGACAAAGCTAATGACCTCACTGTTTGCATAATTAATGTCTCATATATTGTAAAACATGGTATAAAATGCAAAGCAACACAGTACTGTAAGTACTTAGTTGTCGTTGTCTTGTCTGCAGTGATTTGACCTATAACAATGAGGAGGGCAGTTCTGCCCAGGGTTCAACTGACTTATTCTAGGTTTGCAGTGTTTTCAATTCTGACAAAGCTAATGACCTCACTGTTTGCATAATTAATGTCTCATATATTGTAAAACATGGTATAAAATGCAAAGCAACACAGTACTGTAAGTACTTAGTTGTCGTTGTCTTGTCTGCAGTGATTTGACCCTTATAAAAAAGAAAAAAAAAAAAAA